TGCTGACCTTCCTGTACGGATGGGGAGGTGTTTAATGCTCAGAAAGCTGCCCCTCTGAGCCCTGGACCAGGTCTGTGAAGCCTCCAGGCTGCCAGGCAGAGGTGGCTCTGGGCTTGAGGCCTACCCCGCCTTTGTCCTCCCAGCTTGGTACTGAGTGAGGTCCAGCCGCGAGTCCCAGGCCCCCATCTCAGAGATGGGGGGAGTGGGCCAGGAGCGGGGGCGCAGGGCCCCTCGGAGATCCCGCTTCCTGTGACACCTGCGGGCTGGGTTGGTCTGAGAGCCAGCCTGCTGCCGGGTCTCACGCCCCGCTGGCTTCCCTGTAGGGATCGCCCCCCACTGCCTGGACGAGGGCACCGTGCGCAGCGTGGTGGTCGAGGAGTTCAACGGCAGCGACTGGGAGAAGGCCATGAAGGAGCACAAGACCATCAAGAGCATGTCTAAGGAGTGAGCCCCTGCCCCTCCCGCTCAGGAGGGCCCATGGCCGCCCCCATCTCCGCAGTCGGCTCCGGCACCAGTGTCTTCAGGCAGCTCTTGTCCTCCCTCGGCTCAGATTTTGACATAGGCTAGCTGACACCCTTCTATCTCTTCCCGACTTTTGTGTGATCTTTTAGAAAAATAAATATTTTTAACATTAAAGCAGTTACTGCGGTTTATCATTTTCTCTGTACGTTGATTTTGCTGCTGAGGCCAGTCACTGAGCGGCAGGTGTTTACTGAGCCCTGTTCTGGCGCCTGCAGCCACGTCGGGAGGGAGGGGTCAGGAGGCAAACTTAGGGGCTGTTAGAAACGCGTCATGGGCCACCGAGCTGGGAAGAGAATGAGCGTCTAGGAGGAGAGAAGGCTGGTCGTGGGAGACCTGCGGGGAGTGTGATTGGAGCCTTTTTTTTTTTTTTTTTTTTTTTTGAGAGGTAAATCAGCTTCTGATTTCTTTTTCTTTTTTGTCCCAGTTGTGGTAAAATACGCATAACATAAACTTGACCATCTTCACCATTTTTAGCACACAGCTCAGCAGTGTTGATTACGTTTATGTTTTTGTGTCACCGATTTCCACAGCCCTTCATTTTCCAAAACTGAGCCCCTCTACCCATAAATAACCCCTTTGAGCGTGTATTTTTAAAGGAAGCAAGATTTGGGAAGAGAGAAGGGATAAGTAGCTGTGGACAGAGGTCCGGGCACAGGGTAAAGCCAGGTCACCCTGGAGGCTTGTGGGGGGAAAGAAGCAGTGGGTCAGAAAAATACGTCGAAGCCGACTGCGGACAGTCCCGGGTCTTTACCTTACAGGCGTTGGGAAGCCTTTTGACTGGTTCCCTGTCCCCGCTCTCTGTGTCTCATGTCACTTCCTGTTATAATCAGTGCTTTTTATTACAAGATGCATTCCTAAAGCATTCTTCCATTACCAAGTGCTGGGTATATACATAAAGGCAAACGCCTAATAAATAATTGCTCTTTGCTTTAGGAAAGTGAATCATGAAATGATCTGGGACATAGGATAGACCAGAAAAAGGGGTGGGGGAAGGAAATACAGACACACTGGGTTTCCGTGTGGTCACCATGTCAGCTGACAGCCGGTTGGAAGGAGCTGGTAAAAAGTTGTATGCGTGAAACAAGTATATCCTGGTGCAGTGAATGTCCCCTCTGACCTGCCTTCCCTCTTGCAACGATATATAAAACACATAGTTTTGTGTCTCTTTAATACTATTTTATTTTTAAAATTTATCTGTTTACTTTTGGCTGCGTTGGGTCTTTGTTGCTGTGCGCGGGCTTTCTCTAGTTGCAGCGAGCAGGGGCTACTCTTCGTTGCGGTGGGCGGGCCTCACTGCGGTGGCCTCTCCTGTTGTGGAGCACAGGCTCTAGAGCGCAGGCTCAGTAGTTGTGGCGCACGGGCTTAGTTGCTTCGCGGCATGTGGGATCTTCCTGGACCAGGGCTCAAACCTGTGTCCCCTGCGTTGGCAGGCGGACTCTTT